AGCTCCTAACAATCAGACCCAGAAACCACAGGTTGACGCTGAAAATAAGCCTGCCAATCACACCCAGAAACCACAGGTTGACGCTCAAAATAAGCCTGCCAATCACACCCAGAAACCACAGGTTGACGCTCAAAATAAGCCTGCCAATCACACCCAGATACCACCGATTGACGCTCAAAATAAACCTGACAATCAGACCCAGAACCCACAGGTTGACGCTCCAAATAAGCCTGACAACCAGACCCAGATACCACCGATTGACGCTCAAAATAAACCTGACAACCAGACCCAGATACCACCGATTGACGCTCAAAATAAACCTGACAGTCAGACCCAGAACCCACAGGCTGACGCTCAAAATAAACTTGACAATCAGGCGCCAAAAATACTAAGTCGAACTATTGTGTCAACGAATGGTGCTATAGAGATAATTAAGCTAAACCCTGGTATAACACCAGTTGAAAACGTTGAACGAAATTTGAAAATTCAAAGAGCCATAGAAAAAGAAGCCAAAGAATGGCGGAAAAGGTTCGCCCGATTTTTGGCCGAGATTGAAAATACTGAGAAAAAAACCAACATTCGGAAAATTCAGATCTTCACCTGGAACCATCAAGTGGATATTTCCTTTAAAAGACCCGAGGAGGACGAATAACACATGAGACCAAGAGGACTCACAGTTGCAAATAGTCCTGGGCTAAATAAATTGTGAATACATATATTATACAATAAAGAATTATTGTTATCATATCGATGTCTTTTTATTAATAATGGTTTTGTAGTCTTTGTTGTAAGAAGTGTACAACCCGTATTTATTATTGTTAACTGTGATTTTGGTAATTGATAGCCAACGCAACACTAATAGATCTCCCTTTGCATTTTCTTCCATATGGTATTGACGCGTAATCGTCCCTCTCGCAAATGTTTGAGCAATGCATCTACTGACAAATCGTCTGTAGAATTTTGGCCCATATTCGACTTGCAAAGCTTTGCATGACGCTCGAAACGCCAAAGTGTTTTGAACGTCTTATTACAATATTTACAAGCGCGTTCTTCATCCGGAGCGTTTATGCGGTGATTGGGTTCAGGACTTTCGCGCTGCTGGACTGTTCGTGGCGGTATCGTCCATTTGGGCTCCGGCTTAATAAGCAATTGGGTTTTGTTCTTTCGATGCAGCTCGTCCTGGTGGTTGTATCGTATGTGATTGTACATCTTGGACATGCTTGTCTTGGTCCGATCACATAAGCTGCACTTCAAATACGAACGATATGGTAAATGCTTAAAACAATGCTTTTGCAGGTAGGAGCGCTTGGTAGTTGGCATCACCTCGTCACATTGTAGGCAAATACTTTGTCGATCCTTGATCTTGAAGCTATTCTCAATAAAATGCTCAAAGTTATGCTTTTTAAAGACGTGAGAACGCCAGTCATCCATTGATTCACTTTCCTTGCCACACTTTGGACACAAATACGAGATGAGCTTGGCAAGTCCATTGGTAGGGACATCTACGTCTCCTTCCGGTCCGGGTGTTTGTGATAAACGTCGACGTTTGGAGGGTGGTGTCCTTTCTGGGTCTGTATCTGGTTCTGGCTTCATTTTCTTCTTTAGCTTATCCACTTCATCCTCGCCAAGTGCATCTATTTCAATGATCACTACTTCCTTATTTTGCTGTGGATGTGCATCAGTTGACTTTACCGCACTAACAGTGTCCTCCAGTCTCTCCTCGAAAAATTCTTGGCACAGTGCATCCAAATCTACTTCGCATTCATCCTTTTGCTTTTCCTTACGCACAATGTCATCGTAGGCATTTAGGCACCGATCTAACGCCTGTTCACTGTCATTAGGTTTGACTTTTCCTGCAGATACTGCTGAAGATGTTGATGCATCCTGATCTTCAGCCTGCAGATCAATGTCCATTAGCGCCTTTTGCAATAAATCATTGCGTTTGCGTGGCTGCTTCGTAGTTTTACTCGTTGAGGAATTTTTATCATCCTGGTTTCGCTTCGATTGCCTTAACTTAGCCTCGTATTTCTCAATCTCCTTCAGATGTGTAGACAATAGGTGTTCGTTCAATGCCCGACGCCGTGTGTAAGCCAGGCGACAGTGAACGCATCGGTATGTTTCTCGATGATCCAGATGCATAAAGTAATGATACTGCAGCAGTGCAATTGTTTTGTGGGCATTTTCCACCCACTTGAAACAAAGCTGGCATTCGTGGAAATTCTCGTCGATTTGAATGAAATTAAAATCCGAATACGTCTTCTTGAGATATTCGTGTTTCTGTTTAAGAGAATACTTGTGTATTAATAATAATAATAATGCTTTCATTTTTGCTGGTCAACACATACCGTGTTCAAATGCTGTCGCCATTCAGCTTGTGTTCGGAACGCCTTCCCACATTCTGGGCATATATAGACCATGTGGGCTTCCAGGCGAGCATTTAGTTTGCTTTGCTCATCAGTCAGTACGCTGTTTCGTGACATTTTAAGTTTGAACTAAATCCAAACAAGCCTGGAATCAAAACTTCATTGAGATAGAGATGAAACTATCGCATGTAACACAAACGTTATATTGTGAATATAAAAATCATCGATATATTCATGTGCTCAAGGAATCATATACGATATTTTAAAACAAAAATATCATTCAGTCGCTACTTGTGCTTCTATTCAGTCAGTAACAAAATATAAAATTTTAATAAAAAAATTTTTTTTTTCCATTTTAAAAATGTCGAATTCTGCAAAATCTACAGTAAGTAGAGCGTTTATTAATTTTTCATAATGGAGCCAATATTATCCGAATTCCAGTCAAGCACCAGTAGTGCCAGTACCACGTCCGCAACTGCAGTAGCGTCCACTTCGGCATCGGGCAGCGGAAACGTGCAGGAGTTTAAGATTCGCGTACCCAAGATGCGCAAGAAGCATCATGTTATGCGTTTCAATGCCACACTCAATGTGGACTTCGCGCAATGGCGAAACGTTAAGCTAGAGCGCGAGAACAACATGAAAGAGTTTAGAGGTATCGACGAGGAGCAACCGAAATTCGGCGCTGGCTCTGAGTACAATCGAGACCAGCGTGAGGAAGCACGTCGCAAGAAATTTGGCATTATTGCTCGTAAATATAGACCAGAGGCTCAGCCGTGGATTCTTAAAGTTGGCGGAAAAACGGGAAAAAAATTTAAGGGTATTCGTGAGGGTGGAGTTGGTGAAAATGCTGCCTTTTATGTGTTTACACACGCTCCCGATGGTGCCATTGAAGCCTATCCCCTCAATGAATGGTACAATTTCCAGCCCATACAGCGCTATAAGTCGCTCTCCGCGGAGGAGGCCGAACAAGAATTTGGACGGCGCAAAAAGGTGATGAATTATTTCTCTCTTATGTTGCGCAAGCGCTTACGAGGCGACGAAGAGGAGGAACAAGATCCCGAAGAAGTCAAATTGTTGAAAGCGGCCACCAAAAAGTCAAAGGAGCTAAAAATAACCGATATGGACGAATGGATTGATTCGGAGGATGAGTCCGATTCTGAAGATGAGGAGGAGAAAAAGAAGAAAGAGCAGGAGGATAGCGACGATGGTAGTGGAAAGAAGGGAAAGGGAAAAAAAGGCTTGGATAAGAAGAAGAAGAAACGCGATTTGGACGATGAGGCCTTTGAGGAGTCCGATGATGGAGACGAAGAGGGACGCGAAATGGACTATGATACAAGTTCCAGTGAAGAGTAAGTTTTTATTTAGCATTTCTTTATAACTTTCTATAATGAAATCGTTTATAGTGAACCTGATCCAGAGTCCAAGCTTGTAAAGGATATGAAAGGCGTGGCCGAAGAAGATGCACTCCGAAAGTTGCTCACTTCGGATGAGGAGGAAGACGAGGAAAAGAAATCAGATGAGTCAGATAAAGAGGAGGGTGATGAGAAAAAGAAAAAAGACAAATCTAAAGATGAAATAACCAAGGAGAAGAAGAAAAAGAAACAATCAAAAGATGAAAAGAAATCTAAATCTCCTGGTAGCGACTCATCATCCGACCTCAGCTCAGACAGCACAGATTCCGAAGACGACCTCAGCAACGGGCCTCTGAAAAAGAAACCATCATCGAACAAAGATAAAGATAAAGACAAGGATAAGGATAAGGAAATGGCTCTCAAGGCAATCGCCAGTGGCAGTAATGCAAATAAATCACGTTCGGCAACGCCTACTCAGCTAAACGATCCCAACAAACGCAAAATGAACAGCCTGCCTAGTGATCTCACAGGATCGGACACCAGTAACAGTCCTAGCAGCACTCCAGCAAAACGTCCCAAAAATGAGTTGACTAACTCTTTACCTTCATCATTCGCAGGTGTTGTGAACAACAAAGTGGAGTGAGTATATACTGTTGGAAAATAAATAAGATTTGTTTTGCTAACTTACGATTTATTTTTGCAGAGATTATGGTATTACCGAGGAAGCTGTTCGTCGATATCTTAAGCGTAAGCCATTGACAGCTACTGAGCTGTTAACTAAATTCAAGAACAAGAAAACAGGCGTCTCCAGCGATCGTTTGGTCGAGACCATGACCAAGATTCTAAAGAAAATCAATCCTGTCAAACATACCATACAAGGAAAAATGTATCTATGGATAAAATAATTTTGCCATATATCTCTCCATATTGAAATATTTTTCATTGTCATGTTTGAAAACGGGCCTATTAAATATTCATTAAAAAATTTGTTTATATTCTACATTCTAATTACATCACAAAATGCTCAAGACTTTAAAATATGAGCCGTTTAAAATATCAATATCAAATGTAGCATGTGATAATTCTTTCTTTATCATTAAATGATTATTTAAAACATACAAAATTGCTTGAAACGTCATAGAATCATTTAAATTTATCCAGTGAAGATTGTGAAAATTGTCCCTTTGCTTTTTTAAATTTAATTTGTTCATAAAGGAAATAATGAAATATTAGTTTGGTTACACGGGAAGTCCATATAAATAAAAAAGTATCGATGCATCGATAGTTAGTTCAAGGAAAACATCGATACTACAATGGTCACATTGGCCAGTCTGAGCCCTGCGCTGAGTTCTAAACCACATTACATCTTAAATAATCAAAGTTAAGGGCATATAAAATGTATAATCAGCTAAATCCCAAGAATCCCCGTCCCATCTGATAATTCCAACAGTTAGTGGTGCGTGTGTAGTGTAATAAAAACCGAATTAACTGCAACGCAATTGTAATGGCGACGAGAAGTCCGAAGAAAAACGAATGCCAATGAGCGAGTGCTAAAAAAAACAGTATAGTGGACCTGCAAACAGTTGCTGCCAAGCTCAATAGAATTATTAAAATAAACAATATAATAAAGTGAGTAGCAGCAATGCAAATTGTATCGATTGGTAAACTTCAGCACCACCAGCTGCTGTCTTAGATAAATTAATTCGCAAACACACACCCAAACACAAACATTCACGCACACACCCATGCGCTTAGTGTCGTCTAAAAGCATAACAAAAGCATACGCAGTTCAAATCAAGCTTATTTATAAATCAATTTGAATTTATTTCAATTATGAATTAGTATTTCTGCGCTGTCCTGCTTTTATCACCTGTTGGAGCGCACTATGTATTTGTCTTTATTTACTGTTGTAAACACCTTGACGCTAGAGTTATGCGTGTGTAAAGTTCAAGGCAGAAAGTATATGTATAACTAGGTGGGTGGTGCTGAAACCAACCTGCGCGTACCTCCTAGCGCTCGCGTGGAGTTGTGTGTGTGTGTGCATGGGAGTAATTTGTATTCGGATAAGCTGAATTTGAAGAGCAATCGAAAGGGAGAAATGTCTATTAAGTGCGGCAGAAAGCATTAGTCATTATTTTTTAGTAGTGTTTGCTTACTTACACAGTGATAAGAGCATCGCATTAGAGAACGGCTAGTACATATGTATGTATGTAATACATACTATGTATACATACATATATATAAATCGACACATCCGGACCAGCAACTTCAATTCGAAACTAAAAGGTGGCCGCTTTTGCGTACACACACTCACGCTCACACATTTGTCAGATGGCTTTGTGTTTATTTATTTATTTATATTAGAATTATATTTCTCTGTTTGCGGATGCAATGAAAACAAAGTCAGGTCCTCATTAATGTCACATTTGTATTGGTTCGATGTATTGAGCACGATGTGTTAATTACATATGACGTTCTTTATTTTTTAATTATGTGTTTAATACAAAAAATAGTGGCATTTTTACGCTAGTCTTACTTGTATGCCAAAAGTATTATCGTATCGGACTATAGCTCATGGCTATTTTCCACGTTCCGTACCACAGGCCATGTGAATTTACGAAAACTGCATTTATACTATTTAATTTTCTACGAATGATATCGTCTGGGTGTACGATGATTCAGTCCGTTTAATTTTACCGGCGAAATTGAAAGCTTTTCACTAGTTTATTTAACCTGCCGCCAATATTTGCAATGCATTTCATTTGAGCTCTGACTTATGTAAACATTATTGAAGCTTGCAACAATATGTCAATTGATACAAATTAGACTCAATCATAACAACCAACGTTCGATTTCAAGTGGGGGTTTTATTGCATTAAAGTTTAATTGTTACATAAAGCGTTGTTCCAATTAAATATTGAATTTCGAAACTATCGGTAAAATATGCCAGCACTAAGGTTCACTCAACAAACATCGAACAGCTGATTGTGTTGACGGGACCAAAGGAAAGAATCACAGAAGAAGAAAAAACAACAAAAAACAAATGACACAAACACTCGCATGCACGCACACATATATTCAAATACACATATACTTATTGAAAACCGTTTATCTTATCAGCAGGCGATGGCGGTGCTCTGGCCGGTGCACTGTTTGTTTGAATATTGAGTTGTACTTGTTTTTAATGGATTTTCATTAATGCACTTGTTTTGCAGGCCACCAAAAACACACGATCAATCACACATCCGCACAGATGAGACATGCGAATAGTGCAAATGATAATAATCATAAGCAGCAGCAGCGGACGCAGCAACAAGAAACTAAAACAATAGTAGTGAAACAACAGTTAAACAACTGCAAGCAACAACAGTTTTTTCAGCTCGTGTGCGATTAGTACTAAACAGCAGCAAGAGCAGCAGCAGCGGCACGAGCAGCAACAGCAGCAGTAGCGTCTGCGGTAGCAGCGGCATACACATCAGCATGGCTAGGAAACATTGTCTCTCATTGGAGCTGGCATTGCTGGGTCTTTGTTTAATATGCCATCCGGCGGCCATTGATGCCCATGTCCTCGTTTACAGACGCACTACCTCACAGGCAAGTCAAGTTGACTACAGTGCTGCTTAATTTACTAATAACACCCTTGTTTCCATGCAGCTGATTGAGGAGTTCAACGATTTGCCAGCTTCATTCGGACCCCCTATTGTGGACAATAATCTTCGGGTATTTGTGGTGCCACATGATCCCAAAGATCCGTATGGTTGTAATAATTTAAGCAATCCACCGCGCTACAGCTATCCAAACGGCGCAAAGTTTGTGGCGATCCTCTCGCGGTAAGCTTTTTTGAACTTGTAGGCAGTTCAAGGTATATTTAATGATATTTTTGTATGCTTACACAGAGGAGGTAACTGCACATTTGAACGAAAGGTTCGCGTAGCTCAGGAGGCAACGTATTCCGCTGTAATTATCTACAACAATGAAGGCGATGAACTGGGTATGACAAGTTATATGAATAACACTCGTGATTCATTGATGAGTGAATTTGTGCATCAGATATTTCTTGTAATTTTCTTTTGATTTTCACCTTTTATTCTATTTATTTGTTTACAATACAATTTTATATAAAAAAAAAAAAAAAAAAAAAAAGCAGGCCATTAATAAGTCAAGAGTTTCCCTTAAGTGCAAATGCCTAACATAATTTTACAATTTTTGTTTTTTAATCTAATTTTAGAACAAATGACCGCCAACAACAAATCAGGCATAAATATACCCTCCGTTTTTGTGGGCATCACGACCGGCAAAACATTATTGTCTTTCTTTACACCAGAAGTGGTGCTGATTATCAACGATGAGCTGCCCTTTAATATCAACACACAACTGATATTGCCGTTTTCCATACTGATTGCATTATGTTTTCTTATTTTGGTATGTAATTAACTTAGTGTTAAATGAGCTATTGCTTAAACCCATGTTATCATTTATATATAGATTGTCTACATGATATATAAATGCATACGGGAGCAGCGCCGTTTGCGTCGACATAGGCTACCCAAGAGCACGCTTAGAAAGATACCAGTGCTGCGATATACAAAGAATAATACCACCATTAAGTACGAAACCTGCGTTATTTGCCTCGAAGACTTTGTTGAGGACGACAAGCTACGCGTGCTGCCCTGCTCGCATCGTAAGTGACTCCAACCAACAGCAGGCTGTAAAACATAATTATAATTAATATTATTATAATATTCTAGCTTATCACAGCCACTGTATTGATCCTTGGCTAACTGAGAACCGTCGCGTCTGCCCCATATGTAAACGGAAGGTTTTTACGAAGGGAGAAACACGTGCGAGTCGGAATCGACAGCCTTCCTTAGATAGCGATGACGATACCACACCGTTGTTGCAGCAGCAACCGCAGTCAGTATCTGCTGCAGGCTCGGCGGCCGGTGGCAGTAACAGCGCCAGCATCAATTCTGCATCATTGGCAGAAGGCACCACAAGACATGGGACATTTAGACGTGGCGATGCAGAACGCACTCTCAACGCCGCACAGGAGAATCAAAGCTCTGACGATGAGAATGGTATGTGTTGCCCATTTTTATTTTCGGATTAAAAGCTGAAAGCTGAAATCTAAATACTCTACTATGTAGTTATGAGCTAAGTTAAATGAGTAAATTAATATAGTTTTTTTTATTATGTTTTTTTATTTATACTTATTTAGTAATCTCAAATTATATGCAATATTGCAAATCTTTGTATTTGAAATTTTTAGGCTTCGACAAATCATATTCTATAAGCTCTGAGAACTCGAAGCATTTGATTTATTTAATTAGAATGTCGTGTCAAATTAATTAATTAATAATTTGCTATCTGTCTCTTACCTTTTAATATCGTACACAGCGCTACTGGATTCCACACCTCAGACTAGTGTATCGTCATCTTTTCAACGACGCGTCAATCCTTTCGATCGGGCAATAAATTTGCCACCACATTTGGCAAATCAACTGAATCAGCCAAGGCCCTCACTTTGGTCGCGCCTTAACTTTAGGTAAGTTTTTCTAAAGTTTGCTATTAGGCGAATATTTACTTTTATACCGTGTTTGCAGCTCCCTATTTCGCCGTGACTCCACAGGTATTAGTGTTGCAGCGCCGCCTTATCTCGATCATGTTGAGGCCGGTACAAGTGAGGTAGCTATTCGGGGTACAACAGAGGCAGCCCAAATTACCGGTATCTCCAATCCTACATCGAACAACATACTGAATCCGAATTTAAGCGGCTCTTTCAAAGATGATGACGATATGCCACCGCATCGTTCAATTTACGAACCTATTGCAATCAGTGCGCCCACAACAGAGCAAGGTGTCTCTACTGGTGCGGCCGCCGTTGCTGACTCGGCGTTTCTACAGACGCCCACGCAGGGCGGCATTGGAGTTGCTGCGCTACCCCATAGCGGCACAGATCGCCAATTTCTAATATGAATAGAGGCGAACAAGAAAGTATAGTAATTTTCTAGGACATAGTTCACACCAAGCAGGCAAATCGACTAAAAGAAATCCCATTTGTGGGAGTAGTAAAGTAGAAGTCGCTTGTAAGTGGCGAAGTTGTGGCTGCCAGCTGCTTTGTTTTAAACAATTAACAAGTGTTTACCCTTTATACACATACTATGTAATTGTAATTGTATTTGTAATCATCATTGTCATGAATCATGGATCATGGATGATTATGGTTTGCATCGCAGTACACATTACACTCACACATACACACATATACAACAAACAAACATAAATATGCGTATACAAATTGTGATTTATTTTATATACCTTATATATTATTAACATTATTGGCTTGTATAACTAAAGTCGAAACAAAACAAAACTAAAATGAAAAGGAAAATACCATTTACCTTCGTATAAGATTGAAATTGTTTACCTGATTCTGATTACGTATTTAAATTTTGTTTGTTTTAACCACTCAACACTCCAAGAAAAATCAAGTCAGAAAACAAAAAAATAATCAAACATGTGTAATTAAACCTATTAATAGCCACTAGTTTTAATGTGCACGTGAAAGTTGTTTTCAGGCCAGGAACTCAAAGCTTTCATCAATCAAAAGCAATCGATTCATTGATTTTGTATGATGTTACCGTATATTTAACTAATTTTAAGTTTTGCTTTGTAATATATATTCAAATTCTCCAAATTCGATTTTTATAAAAATGGCCATACGAATAATGAAAAAAAAGTGTTAAGAACTACGTACTTTGTAGAATTGAAAGTTTCGAAATCATAAGCTTTAAGGTAAGTGCTAGTTTGTGATTATTTTCTTAAAAATAATAAATATAAAAGAATCAACATTAACTGATGAAAACTGTTCACAACTATGAATATAAATATTGTAAAACGGAATCAATTAAATATAAAGACATTATAACAATTGTGTTTCAACGTGTAATCTACAGTTAATTTACAATAAACTAAACGTAATTGATATAAACCAAATGAATAAATGGGTATCGTTAGTAGATCTTAATTTGAAAGCTTAACAATGGGGGACTTGATTAAGAGTTATAATATATTTTATTTATAGCCAACTATTGTGATTTTTAATGATGCTATTGTATTTCAATTACCATTTCAGCTTTAATGCAGAGTCAGAATTATGAGAAATAATGTCCTGTCTACCAGAACAAGCAACAATTAAACAAAGTATTTACAGTTCTACTTTCGCTTATATTTTTAGTCCCTGCCTGAAAGTATGCAACACTCATGTGAACAGACAAAAGCTGAATACTACAACTGACCAACAAATAGATTTCACATAATTCGGTCCCTTAAATAGCGAGGCTGTGGGCAACATCTAAAATCAACAATGTGTAAATTCAAGGCCCATACTATGTAACTTTAATAATTTGTTTTAAGAGCATTTTCTTTAAAGAGTTTAGCCAAAAAATTTCTTATGATTAATACTAACAGCTTTTTTTTAATAGGATTTAGAAAAAACTCGCCAGAATACTCTTATTAATAACGCTAACGACTAAAGACTTCGGCAGGTGTTTCAATCTGTGTTACTTAATTATAATTTTCGCCTGGGAACTACAGCAGCTGTTGAAAGGGCAAGTATACTTGGACTTTATTATTTTTTCTATATTCATACCATCTGGTAAGTAATAGACATGTGGGAAACTCTGTTGAATTATAAAGTCCACATAAATAATTGAGCGAAATATGGCGGGCATGGGCTGTAAAATATAATTAAAAGCAATTAAAGTAAAAAATATACAAATAAATTGGTTTTGTACAAATACAAATGGTTTTAATGTATACGATAACTATAAACAGATATATATATATATATATAGTATTTAGATATACATATTTATTTATAGTATTGAGTAATGCACATAATCTTGTCAGCATTGCAGTTATTAGACTAAGCCATTAGCAGAGTTTTTAAATCGAATTTCGCTAAGTGTATACATTATGTTTTATTTATGTGTGTATGAATGTGTAGATGTGTGCGATATAGTTTTTCACTTGTTTGTACAACTCGTATGCAATTATGCATGTGTATACACATATATTCTTATATATATATATATATATATATATATATATATATATATATATATATATATATATATATATATATATATATATGAAAATGTATATGTGATTCGGTAATGTGATGCGTGTGTTGTCTTGACACTAATTAAATTTTAAACTATTACGTTTTGTGTATTTATAAGTTATATACAAAATATGTACTTTTTAACTTAATACTATTAACATTAAGAAACTAATAGTCGAACATGGAGTCACCGCCGTCTCACTTCACCACCAGCGACTGTTTGAGATACCGCACAAGGCCAGAGCCTATATCCTGCACATCCGGCCATTGGCGTATCACAAAGATTATAAAGCAAATCGTTAAAAATGTGGTCAGCACGCGAAGCCTATAAATACAAAGCAATTGAAAAATTACTAAAGGCTCATTATATATGTATATATATACATTTGCGTATGTAGACCGTGTACTTACCTCGTTTTGAGAAACGGCATAATAATGCCAGCAGCGGTTGCCACCAACAGCAGCACCACTTGCAATATTGTTAAGACCACATTGATGAGTTTCACAACCAGGGCGCGAGCGTTCGAATTGTCAATGCCCTCGACGGTGACATATTGCTGCTGAGACATATGCTCCATTTTCGATATCTATTGGCAATGGATGACATTTTATTGTTTAACATTTTAACAAGCACTTAGGCCAAAGCCAAGTAACAACTTACCCTTGTTTGACAATTCTCGAGCACTTCGTTGACGTCACGTAGTCTTTCATCGCTTTGGTATTGTACTTTCTCTTCCATGTCAGCAATTGTTTGTTTCAGATTCTCGATTTCATTCTGCAAATGAAGGCATTAATTGATATTGTTTCAAGCATTGTAATTACACAATCAATGAAACGCACCTGATGCAATTCCGTCAAGTCATTGATTTGCTCCTCCAGTCCCTCAGCACGGAAGCGTTCACTTTCGAGAGTGGCTGTCAAATTGTTGAACTCCTTTTGGCTAGTCTGAAATTGATAGATTTGATAGTTGGGATTAAATTGGATATACATATTTGTATATTATACTATATTAGTACTTACCTCAAGTCGATCGACTCGCTCTTTAAGCTTCTCGATCTCCGCTTTGCGCTCGGACAATTCAGTGAGCAGGGACTTGAGCACAATGTGGTACTGGCTGGCGCCCGACTGACTCTTGCCAGATCTGTATTCATGTAATGATTTATAGGTATAGTAACGATGCAGTTTGATTTGGCCATAACCATGGCACTTACCCCGCTGGTATGCTTTCGCTGGTTACACTGCTGCACTCACTGCCGTTGTCGCTGTTGAATTTGCCGGTGCCGCTGCCAGTGCCTGCGTTGTTGTTGTTCATGTTGTTGCCGCCGCCGGAGCCCGTCGAGGTGCCAGGGCCGGGTTGATGCAGCAATCGCTCATTGGCCGCTGTCAGAGCGTCCGCATTTGCCGCCTGAATGGCTTGAAGCTCGGCGTCAGCAATCTGATTTATATTGTCCGCACTGCCGAATTTGTTCTTAATGAGATGCGCAAATTCGCGCGGCTTCGACATCACCGAACCGGAGAAGCCCGTAATTCCGTCACGTATATTGCCACCCACATTGCGTAGTCCCTGGCCGACGTCGCGGAGCACCTCGCGTGGTTGCCGGTGCTGGCTCTTGGTTTGAAATTGATGATTCTGCAGATCCTTGGCTCGCTTGGTATAATTGTCCAGTTTTTTTTGCAGCTGCGATATGCTGTGTGCGCTTTTCTGATTCTTCTTCTCGAACACCGCCTGCAATCGGACAACGTCTATAGAATTCGCCACAAACATTGAGTTTCTTTCTTGATTTTTACCTTGATGCGTTGCAATTGCTGTTTATCGGCGCTGGCTGCGAGTTTCAGATACTCGTTCACATTATCTACAAGGATTAGTATTAAAGATTTCAGATATAATTGTCAGTTCCTGAATACGTGATTTAATATTGATGATATAATATTAATGTGGAATGCATCGAATTTTACATTCTCTGAGAAGCCTTATATATTGTATTTAAATTACACTATTAAGTAGTTTGAAATCTCTTTGTCTATGTAAATTGTGTATATTAGTGGGAATCAATAGAATTCCCCTTTTTCAGGATTACTATTTAGTTAGGTTAACACTCCCAATAAGTATGCTATGAAATCGAGTTTGCAGACATTTCAAAGGAATCGTACTCACCATCCCGGGCTGTTTGCTCCTGCCTGATGGATTCCTTGGTGCACTGTATTTTCGTATTCAGACGATCTATGGCCTGCACACTGGAACTGCGCTCATGGCGTCGATGGTGCAGCTTCTTGCTGCTATCGAATTCATCCGATGCCATAGACGCATAGTAGTCCTCATTGCCGGACAGTCGTGAGTCCTCTAGGCCACTGCCGGTGCCGGCGCTGCCACCGCCGCCGCCGTGGCTGAGACTGATGCCAAAGTCTGTCATATCGCCTACCATGCCGCTGTAGGCCAGGAGACCGCCTTGATCGGAGCCATGTGTGCGTCGCTGGCGCTCACGGCTGTGTCGCCGGTGTGTGGGGCTGTGGCTGCGAAAACCGCGCACTGCCACGCCCCCGCTGCTACCCAGGCTGCCGGTCACCGTGTTGCCGCCGCTGTAGACAGCCGCCTGTGCAGCTGCCACTGTGCTGGACGAGGCCGACGAATTGCTGTTGGCTGCCGTCGGTGTGGCCAACGCTCCCGCTCCTCCTCCCCCCGCTGCTGCTGCTGCTGCCGATGGCGTCGTCGTCGTCGTCGCTGTTGCAATTGCAACCGTTGGTGTTGTGGCTGCTGTTCCCGACGACGCTGCTGTCGCTGAGTCGCTGGTGCGCTCCCTGGACACTGTCGAGTTGTTGCGCATAGAAAGTCAGTATGGTACGTATATATGTAGTTTATGGCTTTGGCTCGACTCAAACTTCAATTGTCGAATGGATGAAGGCGAGGCACAGGTGCAGTCGCAGCAAACGATAACATCAAACACAGTGATAAAGCAATAACAAAAACCAAGTCTCAAAATACCACAAAGAAAAAATGTTCAATTTGCTGCTGTTGTTGTTGCTGTTGTTGTGCTTGGTGCTGTTATTGTTGTTGTAAAATATAATTAAAAGCAATTAAAGTAAAAAATATACAAATAAATTGGTTTTGTACAAATACAAATGGTTTTAATGTATACGATAACTATAAACAGATATATATATATATATATAGTATTTAGATATACATATTTATTTATAGTATTGAGTAATGCACATAATCTTGTCAGCATTGCAGTTATTAGACTAAGCCATTAGCAGAGTTTTTAAATCGAATTTCGCTAAGTGTATACATTATGTTTTATTTATGTGTGTATGAATGTGTAGATGTGTGCGATATAGTTTTTCACTTGTTTGTACAACTCGTATGCAATTATGCATGTGTATACACATATATTCTTATATATATATATATATATATATATATATATATATGAAAATGTATATGTGATTCGGTAATGTGATGCGTGTGTTGTCTTGACACTAATTAAATTTTAAACTATTACGTTTTGTGTATTTATAAGTTATATACAAAATATGTACTTTTTAACTTAATACTATTAACATTAAGAAACTAATAGTCGAACATGGAGTCACCGCCGTCTCACTTCACCACCAGCGACTGTTTGAGATACCGCACAAGGCCAGAGCCTATATCCTGCACATCCGGCCATTGGCGTATCACAAAGATTATAAAGCAAATCGTTAAAAATGTGGTCAGCACGCGAAGCCTATAAATACAAAGCAATTGAAAAATTACTAAAGGCTCATTATATATGTATATATATACATTTGCGTATGTAGACCGTGTACTTACCTCGTTTTGAGAAACGGCATAATAATGCCAGCAGCGGTTGCCACCAACAGCAGCACCACTTGCAATATTGTTAAGACCACATTGATGAGTTTCACAACCAGGGCGCGAGCGTTCGAATTGTCAATGCCCTCGACGGTGACATATTGCTGCTGAGACATATGCTCCATTTTCGATATCTATTGGCAATGGATGACATTTTATTGTTTAACATTTTAACAAGCACTTAGGCCAAAGCCAAGTAACAACTTACCCTTGTTTGACAATTCTCGAGCACTTCGTTGACGTCACGTAGTCTTTCATCGCTTTGGTATTGTACTTTCTCTTCCATGTCAGCAATTGTTTGTTTCAGATTCTCGATTTCATTCTGCAAATGAAGGCATTAATTGATATTGTTTCAAGCATTGTAATTACACAATCAATGAAACGCACCTGATGCAATTCCGTCAAGTCATTGATTTGCTCCTCCAGTCCCTCAGCACGGAAGCGTTCACTTTCGAGAGTGGCTGTCAAATTGTTGAACTCCTTTTGGCTAGTCTGAAATTGATAGATTTGATAGTTGGGATTAAATTGGATATACATATTTGTATATTATACTATATTAGTACTTACCTCAAGTCGATCGACTCGCTCTTTAAGCTTCTCGATCTCCGCTTTGCGCTCGGACAATTCAGTGAGCAGGGACTTGAGCACAATGTGGTACTGGCTGGCGCCCGACTGACTCTTGCCAGATCTGTATTCATGTAATGATTTATAGGTATAGTAACGATGCAGTTTGATTTGGCCATAACCATGGCACTTACCCCGCTGGTATGCTTTCGCTGGTTACACTGCTGCACTCACTGCCGTTGTCGCTGTTGAATTTGCCGGTGCCGCTGCCAGTGCCTGCGTTGTTGTTGTTCATGTTGTTGCCGCCGCCGGAGCCCGTCGAGGTGCCAGGGCCGGGTTGATGCAGCAATCGCTCATTGGCCGCTGTCAGAGCGTCCGCATTTGCCGCCTGAATGGCTTGAAGCTCGGCGTCAGCAATCTGATTTATATTGTCCGCACTGCCGAATTTGTTCTTAATGAGATGCGCAAATTCGCGCGGCTTCGACATCACCGAACCGGAGAAGCCCGTAATTCCGTCACGTATATTGCCACCCACATTGCGTAGTCCCTGGCCGACGTCGCGGAGCACCTCGCGTGGTTGCCGGTGCTGGCTCTTGGTTTGAAATTGATGATTCTGCAGATCCTTGGCTCGCTTGGTATAATTGTCCAGTTTTTTTTGCAGCTGCGATATGCTGTGTGCGCTTTTCTGATTCTTCTTCTCGAACACCGCCTGCAATCGGACAACGTCTATAGAATTCGCCACAAACATTGAGTTTCTTTCTTGATTTTTACCTTGATGCGTTGCAATTGCTGTTTATCGGCGCTGGCTGCGAGTTTCAGATACTCGTTCACATTATCTACAAGGATTAGTATTAAAGATTTCAGATATAATTGTCAGTTCCTGAATACGTGATTTAATATTGATGATATAATATTAATGTGGAATGCATCGAATTTTACATTCTCTGAGAAGCCTTATATATTGTATTTAAATTACACTATTAAGTAGTTTGAAATCTCTTTGTCTATGTAAATTGTGTATATTAGTGGGAATCAATAGAATTCCCCTTTTTCAGGATTACTATTTAGTTAGGTTAACACTCCCAATAAGTATGCTATGAAATCGAGTTTGCAGACATTTCAAAGGAATCGTACTCACCATCCCGGGCTGTTTGCTCCTGCCTGATGGATTCCTTGGTGCACTGTATTTTCGTATTCAGACGATCTATGGCCTGCACACTGGAACTGCGCTCATGGCGTCGATGGTGCAGCTTCTTGCTGCTATCGAATTCATCCGATGCCATAGACGCATAGTAGTCCTCATTGCCGGACAGTCGTGAGTCCTCTAGGCCACTGCCGGTGCCGGCGCTGCCACCGCCGCCGCCGTGGCTGAGACTGATGCCAAAGTCTGTCATATCGCCTACCATGCCGCTGTAGGCCAGGAGACCGCCTTGATCGGAGCCATGTGTGCGTCGCTGGCGCTCACGGCTGTGTCGCCGGTGTGTGGGGCTGTGGCTGCGAAAACCGCGCACTGCCACGCCCCCGCTGCTACCCAGGCTGCCGGTCACCGTGTTGCCGCCGCTGTAGACAGCCGCCTGTGCAGCTGCCACTGTGCTGGACGAGGCCGACGAATTGCTGTTGGCTGCCGTCGGTGTGGCCAACGCTCCCGCTCCTCCCTCCCCCCGCTGCTGCTGCTGCTGCCGATGGCGTCGTCGTCGTCGTCGCTGTTGCAATTGCAACCGTTGGTGTTGTGGCTGCTGTTCCCGACGACGCTGCTGTCGCTGAGTCGCTGGTGCGCTCCCTGGACACTGTCGAGTTGTTGCGCATAGAAAGTCAGTATGGTACGTATATATGTAGTTTATGGCTTTGGCTCGACTCAAACTTCAATTGTCGAATGGATGAAGGCGAGGCACAGGTGCAGTCGCAGCAAACGATAACATCAAACACAGTGATAAAGCAATAACAAAAACCAAGTCTCAAAATACCACAAAGAAAAAATGTTCAATTTGCTGCTGTTGTTGTTGCTGTTGTTGTGCTTGGTGCTGTTATTGTTGTTGCGGCTGCGCTTGTAAGCGTATGTGTGCATATGTGTATGTTAATGACAGCCTTACAGACAGCTGTGCGTCAAAAGAGACAGTGAGAGAAAGCACGAGAGACAGAGAGACAGAGAGAGAGAGAAAGACGAACAGTTAAAAAGCAGCAGCAGAAAGTGTTAGCGATTTAATAGCGTTTAAAATCGCGTCTGCGTTGCTGTGAATAGAAAAATGTTGAAAATGCGAGAAATGTGTGAGTGAATACGTATACATGTATGTATGAATGTATGAATGTAGGTATGTATGAATGTTTATGTTTAGTGTTGTGGTACTACAGTTATGTGAGTAATAATAGAAAATACTATTTAATACCATAAAAACTTAATTTTCATTTTATTTAAATCTTGAGATACAAGATGAAAAATAATTATTATATCCATCATATTGGGAATGAGAGAAAACCCTATTTAATATATATTTTAAATATGATTGTTTTTGTTTTATATATACATATTTATATATTTGAGGAATTTATTTTACCATAGTTTCTATTATTTTTCACATACTGTAAGACATATAAGTACGAGTGCTGATTGAAATATATATATATATATATATATATATATATATATATATATATATTTTGTTGTTGCTATTTTTGTACCTTTTTGTATTATATATATATATAAATATGTTTATATATATGTATGTGGGTCTACGTTTGTATGTATATAAGTGCGGTCAACGGTTACAAAGCTGTTTAAAGACACAAAAGAAATAAAAGAGAAACGAGAACAAAAGGATAATCAACACACACAAGTTAAATGCATACAAATAACGATAAGCAAGAACACAAAAGTCACATATAATAAATATATTTTCAACAGCAATAATCAAAATAAACAAATACACATTTATATACATATATATGTATGTATGCAATATAAATGTGCATGTCAACACACAGAGAGCTAATGAAACGCTTAAAAGCGCACAGCACATATTTGCAATTGTGAGCCTTTAAGCCATTTGTGTGCAAATGCTGGGCCACAAAATATCTCTAAAGCATTGCAAAGCAAGAAACGGACGAAAGCAGTAAATAAAGATGAGTCTGAAACAAAGCAGCTTAAGACAATCTCTAATATTCTCGAAATTCAATTTTCTAAAGAAATTCCTATTTGAGTCCATGATTTTGTGACATATAAAAAAGTATTTAGTTGACCATATTCTATATTTTGATTAGAGCTTACAAATGTGTGAAAGGTAAATTAAAAGAAAAAAAAACGTCACTAAAACATGTAAGTTTTTTTTAAATAATATTTTTAGTTGGCCAACATAAAATATACAAGTCCAAAGTCAGAAATTATTCAGAAAAATTATTATTTTTTGCTCACTCATTTTTAAGGATTGTAAAAGCTGCTTTGAAAAGTTTTTAACTATAGAATAATTAAGAATTTAGGAATATCGCATATGATCAGATAAATTTCATAAATCAAATATGAGCAGCCGCGAAAAATTACTATCAACATTTATAAAATAAATTTTAAATGAAATTAAATTTATTTAATTCGGAATTCTTCTACAAATAGCATGTTTGTGAA